GCACCACACACCTTGGTGTCGTTGGAATGTTCCTGTTTTGACACCTGGCCTTTGTTTTGAGATTTCTGTACAAATGTATTAAATAGCGAGCATTTGCATGGAAATAATGTACTTGCTTTTCATACTTGGCTCCTGGATTTTCCTCACTTGGTAACTCTTGTCCTTCCTAATCAGACAGGAAGCATCGCTGTAGATCTGTTATCCGCTTCACCAGAAGTGGGATTTTAAGTTCTAGTTCTGATTGGGTGAAGTGACACTGAAGACTCGTGCTTTACATCAGCAATAGCCCTGTGGGCTTGGGAGGACCAGCTCAAGTAAAATGGCACAAGGTGGTGAAAAGTGATGGGAGATGAAGGAAGGAGAATACTCCCCTTGCTTTGAGAGAAGGGGCAAGCCGGGGTCTCGAGAGTTCTAAGACTAACCACAGTGGTGGGGATCTTCCCAGTCATGCTTGCATAAGGCACTTAAACAAGCTTGGTTGTTATTTGCTTGGTTGTACCTCAAAGCTCTTAGAATTTAGGATTGCTGACTTGAATATAGCAAGTATTAGTACTTCTAGACTAATCAGTAAGCCAAGTAGAGTCAAAATTTACTGTAACCTTAAAGTTTGGCCTTTGACTTAAGGAATTTGGTGCGTGGCTGAGTGCAGAATTTTCTCCTCTGCCTGCTTTTGGTAGAGACTGTATTCTGACGTGTGGTAGGGATCAGCTTTGTTAGATGTCATTTGGTCTGTTGTAGTCACCAATAGGGGTACTCGGGGATCTGGACTGAATGGTAGCTTGGGACATGCACCTCTGACTTCAGCACTGTGTGTTTATTTAGGCTCGGAAAGATTCAGGAGGAGAGCAAACAGTACTGAGCATCAAGACCAGTCCTAACACGACAGGAAAATACAAGCAGTCGGAAGGAGGTAGGACATGGAACATAGAGCACGCCTCACCCTTTTATAATGTTAATGAGATACATTCTTATATATATGCTCTCCTCCTTCTGCTTCCCTTCACGTGAAAGAAGCAAAGAATCACGCTGCGAAGCAGGAAATCAAACCTGAACATTCAAAAGGCTCTCGTTTGTCCCTGCCATCATCTGATGGTAAAACAGCAAGAGAGTTGAGGGATAAGGCCACGCCTTTGAAACCTAGCTCTAAGCTTGTCTCTCTGAAACGAAACGAAGAGACTGCTGAAAAAGCACAAGGCGCTCCAAGTTCAGCGTCAAAGTCAAAAGCTGCTTCAGGGAAGGAAGAGAAGACAACACCAAAGAAGGAGAAAATTTCCCCCAAGAAGACTGAGGTGCGAGCTGTCAAAATGAGTTCAGTTGTCTTGCTGGAGTTTGCAGGAAAACAGTTTTAATTTCTTATTGTTTCACTCTTGTAACTTGGTACTCTGAATCTTTTGGGCGATTGTTAAGAATTTGAGTTCCTAGCAATTGTAGAAATACAGGAGGAAAAAAAAAACATGGAAAAGTGTAAATTAGATGATGCATGAAGGAACTGAGTTCCTTAATGCTCATCAGGTCTGCGTGTGTACTGCAAAATCGGCTCAGTGCTTTTTCGCTTTTAACTTCCCTGAAGAATTGCAGAATGCAGGAATTCTGGCACTGACCTAGTGAGTAAGAGCTTAGGGCTTTCCTTAGAATAAGAAACAGCATTGCTTGGGGTGTTTCTCCCCCCACCCCCAGTCTCCTTATGATGAAGTGTATTTCTTATGATTGATATGGAGGAATATAATTTAGTGTTAACTGGTTCAGTAACTGTAGTTAGTGAACACACTGGCAGTTACTGGCAACCTTAAAACATATTTTGTAACCATAAAGTAAAAAATACCCAGTTTTGACACTTTAATAAGAGTTGTAATTGGGTGGGAGAGCCTGCAACCTTTTCAGAGGTGAGTGTTAATTACTTTTTAATTATTAAAAAGCTTAAATGTCTCAAAGTAGAAACACTAAGTATAGATCTTGTCTATACCTGATTTTGAAATAAAATAGGATGTGACTTTAAAGCAGCAACTCATGAATTAAGTGAGCATGCGCATGTGGAATACAGATGAATCTAGAAAAACTTGACAAACAATGGTTACACCTTTTTTTTTAAACACTCAGGTGACTTTTTGACATCTTCTTTGGAAGAACAACAAAAAATACCTCAAAAGCACCAAACCAGAGCAAGCTCTTGTACTGCATGTTAATAGATTAAAACAAAGTGTTAGAACTTTTCCTTGGGTGCATAAAAACGTCTCAAACGGTGGTGCTTGAATTTATTTTACTGGTTTTGTATATGTGATGTGTGCACTAATTTTTTTTCTCTCCTGCCCAAGTCTGTAAGTCCCGAGGACTCTGAAAAGAGGCGGATCAATTACCAGGCCTACCGAAGCTTCCTTAATCGCGAGGGTCCAAAAGCGCTGGGTTCCAAAGAGATACCTCAGGTAAGTTTTTTGGCTGTGACAGAATTCTCTGTGTGGAAGTGATAGTTACTGTTACAAGGGATCTAACGAGTATCAACTGCATTATTGAAAAACGGGTATTTTTTTCAAATATTGTATTGGAAAAAGATAAGTTGTAATGCAAAGCAGTGACTAAATGTAAGGAAAGGTACAAAGAAATTGTCTACTTGGTTTATGAAGTCACGGTGATGAAAAGCAGTTACTGCTCTTAGGGTTGAAGACTGCTGTCACTCTTTTGACATGCTGTGTGTCAAGCAGTGTGTTACGTGTATGACTGGTGAGGTAAGTGGTGTGGAGTTTTGTTGGTAGCCATTCCTTTTTAATGGCTTTTGAACTTTTCTACCCATTACCTAGCTAGGTATGCTAGGCTTATTTCATAGGGTACTGGACACGGCAGGACTTAATAAAGCGTATGGTGAAGAGGCATTTGGTAGAATTGCGTCAAGTAATGGCATCTTCCGCAATGCTCTGCTTCTCAGGGAGCTGAAAACTGCTTGGAAGGCCTAACGTTTGTCATCACAGGCGTTCTGGAGTGTATTGAAAGAGATGAGGCCAAGTCTCTCATTGAACGTTATGGAGGAAAAGTAACTGGCAACGTCAGCAAGAAGACAAACTATCTGGTTATGGGGCGAGACTGCGGCCAGTCGAAGTGTGAAAAGGTGAGTCTTCCCGTGCCCGCGCTGGGCAGAAGCAAAACTCCGAGTTGTTGGCATCAAACTGGGTTTTCATTATCTGCCAAAAGGAGGCATTCCCACCAATGAAGCGCATGTTGAAAAGGAAAGGTTGCCTAATGATTTTTAGGGCTTTGTTTTATTTTTATTTATATTTGTACACAAACCATATATGTAAAAGCACCCCTTGTTGCTGTTGTGTTCCTAAACAGTCCTTACTGGAAAGCACTTTGAACTGAATGATGGAACTCCTGACCTTACTTAACTTTATCTTTAATTCTCACTTTTGCTCCAGGCATCAACTTTAGGGACAAAAATTATTGATGAGGATGGTCTGTTTGATCTTATTCGAACTATGCCAGGCAAGAAGTCCAAATATGAGCTGGCGGCTGAAACAGAGGTTTGTTTTATTATAGCCTTGGGGTGGTTTTTTGCTGTGTTTTTGATGGAAGGGAGTCATGGTGGTCTGTTCTGGTAGCAGTAACCCTGCAGTTGTTGATTTGACCTTCTGGGTTTAAAAGCATTCAAAGGGAAAATTTTGCGTTGAAGACTTGTACTTGGGAACCGTAGGGCTTTTTCCCACCTTTCGTTTTTATACTGTGACGTTATTCTGTGTTTCAGGTATCTGGCTGAGGGGTAACTGTATCTCCTTAGATTGTTTCAATTTTAAACTTTGAGTATTTGTTTATTCTTTGAAATAAGTAATTGGGACCAAGCAGGCCTGATATAAAATCGTACTGTGAGCCCAGGACATGTCAAGCATGTGTATACATAACAGATTTTACCTCCCTGTGGTACTTGAACTAATAATATGAAAGGTAAATTTTTCAGGGAATACTGTAAAGACAGTAACACGTTTTTATGCACATTTAAACTTAGTCTGTAGCCCCTGATAAAAAGTTATTAAAATCTCCGTTAGCTCTAGCGTGGTGTGCATGCAGCATAGCTCTTGCTTTGGTGCTTCCCGTGTGGCTAGACACGATTCCTTGGCTGTAAAGATGATGTTGGTGTCTTAAGGAAAAACAACTCTAAGCTTACTAGCTAATTAATTCCACTCCCTTGGAATTGTTTTCCACTTTCTGGAAGCATTGCTTTGCAAGAGCTGTCTGGCTCTGGCTGCAGAACCAGGTGACATCATGTTTAACAGTGGCTTATTTTTCAGAGAAGAATGCTGCTTTATCTGCTTCTAAATTTTTTTTTTAATCAATGCATAGGCTTTGCTGCTCTCTTCAGTACTCCTGTACACGTGTTCAAAGGCAGCATGTTTATTTACTGTATAGTTTTTTTAACATTTCCCGTTAAATTTTTTTAACCTTTATTTTCCTAAGGCAAAGAAAGTGGAGTCAAGACCTAAAAAGACACCACAGAAAGCTGAAGCTGGAAAAAGGAATTTCAGCCCCTTCAAAAGGGAAGCTGATAATAAAAAAATGAAGTCTACTCCCGAAAAAGGAGAAACCTTCAAATCTGTCAAGAAGAAAGACAGCACTGCTGTTCGAAAGCTTACCGACTTCAAATGCCGGACTGCAGAGGAGAAAGGAGCCCCACAGCCGAAGGAGAACTTGGTTTCTGGGGTTACTGAAGACAAAGCAGAGAGATTGCTATGGGTAGATAAATACAAGCCTGTATCCCTTAAGGCAATAATTGGACAGCAGGGTGAGCAAAGCTGTGCCAATAAACTGCTCCGCTGGCTCAGAAACTGGCACAGGAATACCTCGGAAGATGGACAAGGTGACCAGTGCACTTAACTTCTGTGTTCTTCAGTGCCAGTCACGGTGCTTTTGGTTCCCTGGACCAGTCAGAGCTTTTCAGATAGTGCAGCAACTCTAGAAATTGGGAATGAGGCTGCAGTTGGATGCAGTTTTAGCAGCAGTTGAGGCTGACTTTTGTTTTCTTGTTGCAGTTGTTCATTTACCTCCCTCCCCCCAAAACAGAACAGAAAGCTGTGTCTGAAAATACTTTAATATTTTGACAGTCTCTTAAATGTGATTCTTTTCCCCAAAAGAAACCAAAATAGCCTAGCAGTAATGTATATAAAAATGGCCTGTTGAATTCTTTCTCGGCCAGGACTAACGCGTCTGTGCACACTGTGAAAGTACAGGATAGCAACACACCTCAAGGGCTGCCGTTGTGCATGGGGAGGAGGGGAATTGCTGAGGTCCCGGTTCTGCCTGCTGCGTGGTCTGCCATCCTGCGGGCAGGCTTCTTAGAGTTTTAAAGAAGCGTTTAAAATCATGGTTAAGTTTCACTTCAGTGGAATGGGTAGTAGGGCTTTGCTGCGTGGTGTGTTTGGGGTTTGGTTGGTTTGGGGTGGTTTTGCTGGTGTGTGGGGTTGGGCATCTTTATGATGTGGCTGTGAGGGAATTGCTGGAGTAGTTGTATTGCATTAACGGTGCTTTTGCTACTTGTCAACTTAGAATCACTGCAAGTCTTAAACTAAGATGGTTTAAGCTGCTTTTCCCTGGCTAGTTAGGATGCAGATGTGTACCTTTTTGATACTCATAGCAGGCCTTAAATGAGAAACTTGGGTGATGTTTGATACCTTGAAGTCTGCAGTTTGTTTTGTAATAGATACATCAGTAAAACCTGGAATTTTCTTTTATAGCAAAGACGAATAAAACTGGAGGCAAGGATGATGGTGCAGGTTTTAAAGCAGCACTGCTTTCTGGTCCACCTGGAGTTGGTAAAACCACTACAGCTTCTCTGGTCTGTAAGGTGAGTTCATGTTAATGGTTGTTCCCAGTGCTTTTTGCGATACGTGGATTCTGTATTGGGATGCAGATGCAGTGTGTGGGTGGATACTCCATTAAGGGCTAGGGGCTGCTCCCAGCCTTGTTCCACCTGCTTGGAACAGGGAAAAGTGTGTGGATGTTTAGATATCTTTATCAGTTTGGGGTGAAAATGTAGCAATGGGTGTCTGTTTCTGTTATGTTGAGAAGAAGCATGTCACAGTCTGAAACTGGAACTGGTTTTCCAAAACTGTGAATGTGCAGCACGAGGTTCTACAAGTCAGAAGAGTATTTGTGCTAAGTTTAGTGGGAGTCAAATTCTGGCAACCTATTGGAAAGACTTGGTCATGGTTCTTGATATCTGACAGAGAGATCTTTCCCAGGCTCTTTCTACATTCAAATGCTGCCTTAGGATGGGAGAAGTTGACAGAGCTGTATGTCCATTTCTAAATTCAAATTTAGAAATG